AAAAAAAAAAAAAGAAATCTCTGTGCTACTGATATCAAGTTAAAAGACAACCTGTATTCAGTCTTTTTTTAAAAAATCATCTTATTACAATCCATACACACACCCATTGTGTCAAGCACATTTGTACATTTGTCGCCACCATTATTCTTAAAACATTTTCTTTCTACTTGAGCCCTTGGTATCAGCTCATTTTTTCCCCTCCGTCCCTGCTCTCCCCTCCCTCCCAGACCCTTAATAATTTTTTTTTACCCTTGATAATTTATGAATTATTTTTTCATGTCTTACACTGTCCAATGTCTCCCTTCACCCACTTTTCCATTGTCCATCCCCTGTGGGAGGGGGTTATATGTAGATCATTGATTGGTTCCCCTTTCTCCCCCACCTTTCCCTTTCCCCTCCTGGTATTGCTACTCTCATTATTGGCCCTGAGGGGTTTATCTGTCCTGGATTCCCTGTGTTTGCAGCTCTTATCTGTACCAGTGTACATCCTCTGGTCTAGCCGGAGTTGTAAGATAGAATTGGGATCATGATAGTGTGGGGGAGGAAGCATTAAAGTACTAGAGGAAAGTTGTATGTTTCATTGGTGCTATACTGCACCCTGACTGATTTGCCTCCTTCCTGGGACCCTTCTTAAGGGGATATCCAGCTGCCTACAGATGGGCTTTGGGTCTCTACTCCACACTCCCCCATTCATATCAATATAATTTTTTTGTTCTTTGATGCCTGATACCTGATCCTGTCGACACCTCATGATCACACAGGCTGGTGTGCTTCTTCCATGTGGGCTTTGTTGCTTCTGAGCTAGATGGCTTCTTGTTTATCCTCAAGCCTTTAAGACCCCAGACACCCTATCTCTTGATAGCTGGGCACCATGAGCTTTCTTCACCACATCAGCACCTCAGACTCCTCTTTTTTAACAAAGTCCTTGACAAAGCCCATCAGCACCCCAGCCTCTTTCTTAACAAAGTCCTTGACGAACAAGTTTCAAATTTTGATATAGTCCAATATATTTTGTCCTTTTGTTGCTTGACATGACACTTTTGTTGGTGTCATAGCTAACAATCAACTGTTAAAAACAAGGTCTTGAAATTTCCTCTCAAATATTTTCTTCATAGAGTTTTATGGTTTTAGCTGTTCTTATACTTACTGGTCCATCCTGAGTTAACTTTTATATCTAGTGTGAGGTAAAGGTCCAACTTCATTTTTGTTCCATGTGCCCACACCTGGGGTTGTCATAAGTCAATCGATTAACAGCAAATGGAGATGACAATTCAGTTGCAGCAGCACTACCGCTTTATTCCCTAGTGAATGGACACATCACCGTCTTGTAGAAAGCAAATGTCCACAGATCTATCAAATAAATGCTTATTAAATGAACTTTGTAAAAAACATGACTCTACATGTAAAATTACTATTTACAGATGTTGGTAAAAAGCAAATCCATTTTCTATTACGTCTCTTGCTTCCCCCACCCCACCCCCGCCAAAAAGCTGACAAAATGGTCAGAAATCGCTAAATTAAGTGCACACACATCCCCAGATTCTTATCCTTCCTAAGGTTATTAGGTCTCTCATCCTGAGTTGTAGCTATGCTTGTAAGGAAATGATTATCAGTTCAGTGAGAAATATGTATTTAATGTTAAATGTCTCAGGGATAAGTTCTGGGGTGGGGTGGGGGCTCAGTGTTGATATAGGCATCATCATCATCATCAACCAGCACACTTTCACTTCCTTGATCTTCTGAATATAAAATTCAGCCAGTTCTGGTACTCAGGCATTTCTAAAGGATGGATACCAATATGTTGACTATACATTTTATATATATATCATGCATTATAGTCTATCTCATATTAAGTATGGACAAATGATTTGCAAAATGTTTTCATTTTTAAAAGTGTGAAACAAAAGTAACTTAAAGTGCTACCCTTAGCAAACAATTGTAAAAGTCTGAGCTCCCAATTTACTGCTTCTATTTCAAAAGTCCATTTCCTGGATCTACTAGCTGAAGAGTCACTATTGTCAGAGCTGACCCCACGGCAGTGGTTTGATGAGTTTTCCACTTGCTTCCATTTTTAAATTCAAGGATTAGGTAAAGGTTGATTGAGCAGACTATGAGCTTACACTTTTGAAAACGCAAAGCTCCTAAATTTAGATACCTTGCAAAAATCAGAGGCTTGCTTTTCCTTCCCACTGGGCAAATGAATGGGGGGAAAGAGTCCTCCTACCACCTCATCACCCAATTGGCTCCCCGAATTTTGGAAGGTGAACGAAGAACGTAAAAATACAGATAAACACAGATCTATTTTGAAAGCAATCTACAGTAATCCAGATTAGAATCCCGCTCTACGTTGTACTCATTAGCTTTTACCCTATCTTTAAAATAGAGGTGATTCCGACCTACTTGAGTTACCGGGTGCATTAAATTGGCTAACGTTATAAAGCACTTATTACAGTGCCTGATATATCATTAGGAGTAATCTGGAAGAGATAAGAGAGCCATAAAAGCAGAAGCCGAAGGTAGCCGTAAGCACCTCTAGATAATTAAAGGCCTAGTTAGGCTGGTTGCAAAGGGCCCAACATCAGCAATCAGGGGACAAACACGCTAAACTTGGCAAGCCATGTAACCTCTTTTATGTCGCACTAGACTGGGATGAAGGGAAAATACGTGTGAATCTGCCCTTGTTAACTCCCGGGCTAGTTGTGAGGACCAGGTGAGACGAGACACGTGAGAGCACAGGGCATCTGATCCCTGGGGTCTCAAGACAGACGTCAGCGTGGACGGTCCTCGTCCCCTCACCGTGGCCTCCGCAGGGCTGGTTGGCTGTCACAAGATGAGCGTGGTTGGAATGCAGGTCCCCAGACCCCCCCGCAGGGTCCCCTGGCCGGGCCCGGCGTCCGGAGGACCACACCCTGCCTCGCACCAGGGCCGCGAACCACCCTCCTTCCCGGGGCCTGCTCCGGAGGGAGGGCGGGGGAAAGGGCACCCCAGCGAGAGCATCGGAATCTTCACCCGGGAGGATCTACCCACGGGCGTCCCAGCAGGGATGGGGGAGGGGGCGAGCTCGATGCCGGCCCGAGCCCAACTAGCCAGCAGGGCCCCAAGGGGACGCCGCGCGCCCGGGGGACGCGCCTGCGCCTCATCGCGGAAGGCCCAGCGGGGGCGCGCGCGCCCCCACGCCGCGAGCGAGGCGGGAAAAGGCCCGCGCATGCGCCGCCCAGCGCTCCGGGCTCTCCAGGATGGGGAAGGGGAGGTGGAGTTTCCCAGAGGGAACTTGACCCGTTAGCAGCCGCGGCCATGGCGGCGCGGCGGTCGCCCTCGCCGCGTCCTCCGCCCCAGGCTCGACAGCCCGGGCCCTGGTCCCCGCATGTGGGGCCGGACGCTGAAGTCCGCGCGGTGCACAGCGAGGCTTCGGGTCTTGCCGGCGCTGCATGGATGGTCATCACCGGCCGGAACGGGAGGTCCCGGCGGGGCGAAGAGGGGCCGGGGGCCCCGCACGGGGTCGAGGCGGCGGCGGCGGCTCAGGCTCCCCTCCCCAGCGCGCCCACGGCGTCCGGGCGGCTCGAGGGCATCTCGCTAGAGGAGACGATGGCGACCCGGACGCAGCTGCTGGAGGACGAGCTGGGCAGCCTAAAGGAGGAGCTGGCCCTGTGTCAGGTATCGAGGGTCCTCGCCGCAGGCCTGTCCCTCCTCTGCGGCCGAAGCGCGCCCCTCTCCCTGCTGCTCGGGCCGCTCCGCCGGTGATGCGGGACCTGCCCGGTCCCCGCTCCCCCGCGGGCCGCCGGCTGCGCCCGGGGCCCAGGGACACGGCCGCCGGCCTCCCACCCCGCTCGGACCGGGCCGGCGGCCCCGACCCCCAAAGCCCCCGTTTCTGGGTGACCTGGTGCGTCGCCCGAGTGGAATGCAGCCCCTGAGTTGACAATGTGGACCAGGGAAGTGGCAACACTGGTTGAAATAAAATCCGTCGATGGAGCAGCCTGTTCTTAATTTCCCAACTCAACACTGGCCCGTGTGCTTTCACAATCAAACACACTTTAAGTTGGAAACACCGATGCGAGATTTCCAGGGCGTCCCCAACGCTGGGAACGTCACACGTAATAAATGATGCTTAAGTATCGATCAGGCGACTAGAAGAACTCCTTCCTCCTTAAGGGAGACATCCCGTGTCCGGTGGATCTTGCCGGTAAAAACGAGTGCAGTCAACCAACCCGCCTGCAATTGTGGACAGGCGGGGTGGGATGTGTGTCAGACCCCTCACTCGTAGATTTCATTTTCCTTGAGTTTTGCATCTTTGCTACCTCTGCCCTGCTTTCATCAGCACCAGTAAAGTCAGGTGTGGGCGGTCAAACGTTGGGCCCGCACTCAGCAATCAAGATAGTTGAATCACTGTTTTCCAGATAAACCACCCATTAGGAACTGCTGTGATACTAGGTAACTTTCTGAACACTAGCACCAGTTTAGATTAAGAAAGCTTCATGAGCAGCCATCTCCCCTAGTTTATGGTCCTGGATTCTTTCGCCCCCTTGGCAGGTCTTTGCTGCCTTGGTCAAGACTGTAAAACTGGTCATCTTGTTCAAATTTGAACATTCTTGGTGTAAACATGGTGCTTGACTATTTTCTGCTCATTGGTTAAGGTGCAAAGGGAGAAATAAAAGAGACCAATGAATGAAAACATTTCATCAGTACCACACCCTAGACATGTAAGGATAAAGGGCATTTATCACACAGATCCCACGGTATTTACATCTTCTACATTGCTTATACTTCTGCATTGCTTATACTTCCCAGAGTTTGCACATACAAGGGGGTTTCAGGGACTTCAAAACGTTCATGGGGAAATTCCATTATCTTTGAATTCCATTTGTTCACAAACTTTTTGAACCCCCCAGCCCCCCAGTGGGTGGTCCTACTTTGAAATGCATTGGTTCAAGCAGTCTGTCTTGGAAACAATTGAGGACCCCCCTCCTTAAATCCCTTCCCTGTTACATGCTTTACAAGTGTAGCAATAAACACACATTTGGCTTTGGTGACCTTGATATATCTGGACCAGAAAGATGATTGAAATAACCTGGGCAGATGTAAGGATATTGATAAAGTTGTTCCTCGAGGTTTTTGTAATTGATACTTAGGTGATCTTAGGCAATCCTGTAAGGAGATGAGATTGGTTGTCACCATCCATCCCTTAAAACCTGTGTCACGCCGTTTTTCTGTCAAGTAAGCTTGAGAGAAGCAATAACAGAACTCCCAAGGGTTTCCTAAAGACATTTAAATAATCAAACATTGAATTCTTTATCTTTTGTTCTCATTTATTCTGTTAAAAATCACCGTCGCAAGAATAACTCAAGGCAACTCATTGCCATCCAGTGGATTCCAAATCATAGCAGAGTAGAGTAGACCCACCTTTGTGAGTATTTGAAACACTAGCTATGGGAGTAGAAAACCTGTGGAGTAACTGGTAGATTTGAACCGTTGACCTTGCGGTTAGCAGCTCAACCCATAACCTACTCAACTATATTAATGCTGTGATTTCAAACAAACTGCAACCCACATGAGTTACACATCTCAGTTTAGTAAGTACACTTAGATTAGTAATTTCAGAAAGATGATTCTAACAGGGTGTTATGAACTTTGATATTTTCAATTCTCCTAAAAAGAAACCTCAAAAAAAACCAAAAAAAACCAAACAAACCCCAAACCAAATTTCACATCTACTAGAATATTCTATAACCCAGCAATGGATTAAAAACTACAATTTGGGAAAAATAAAATATGACTAATTAATAGTCATAGCAGTAGCTTCATTTTGGTTATTTGTCTTTTGATACACTTGCCTTGGTGGCATATATGTATATGCCACACTATATGTGCTTCTGAACGATTGTGCAACAGAAACAATCTGCTGATCTTCATTTCCCAAGTATTACTCTGAATATGAATCTCATTATTTGATTGCAATATTATTACTATTTTTTTCCAAGAGGGCCCATAAGGTCAGCAAGCAAATTACACAAGGCTTGGGTGAAGCATTAATTTTAGGATAGGAGCTTATATATGTCAGTTTCCAAATAGAACTTTTCCCTGCGAAGTTAACAAGGGTACTTTATAGGATGATTTTGAATGTGACGTTTTTACCTTAAGCATTGATTTTACATCCTAAATCTAGCAAACTCTTAATTTTGCTGTTTGTCAAATGTATTTGTGCTACATATGGGGATATATGGTGTGAATTGATGCGTGTTAATGTTGAATGTTCATAGAATACCAGGTGAGAAAGAGTAACATTCACAAAGTATAGCATCAGCTTCTTTTTTTCTGGTAGAAGCCAAAAATAACTACAAAATTTGTAAACCTATTTCAGGCAATAAGTTATTTAGGGCATATAAATTATATTATTAAGGAGCTGTAGTGGTGCTGTGGGTTAAAGGTCAGAGGTACAAACCTACCAGGCACTAGGAGGGAGAAAGGTAAGGCTGCCTGCGCTTGTAAAGATTTATCACCATGGAAGCCTGGTATGGTGTTGCTATGAGTCACTGAGTCACTTGACTTGATGGCAGTGGGTTTGGTTTTGCTGATTACAACTTTAGCGTTGGAGTCACCTGATGGATGCTGTTCTTGAAACCATAGAAAAGAACTTCAAAAAGGTGGTGGAAAACTTCCATTATCATCTGATTGCATTTTCTCATGCATTTTTAAAGCCCCCTCATATAACCAGAGAACTCAGCTATATTTTGTGGTAGAAATGTAGGTACTCGAGTATAAGCCAACCCGAATATCAGCTGAGGCACCTAATTTTACCACAACAAATGTGCTGAGAAACTTGGCTTATCCACAAGTATGTATGGTAATTAGAGGCCTCCCCTTTTAAGTAGCTGTATTCTATGAGATACATTGTATAATTGTGGGCATTCTTTTTCATCCGAATTTATTGAGTGACTGTGACATACAATGTAATAAAATTTCTTCCATGGCTGTCCTTGAGAGTTAGGATAGGTAAATCCTAGGTGTAAGTGCAGGAAGTCATGTCATAGGTTTGTTGGGGTCACCTGGGAACCAAGTTTGTTACTGGGACCCAAACCAGGAGCTGGTGACGGAGGCAGTTTTGGGAGTTTTGACTAGTACCTGTTTCCATGCCAGGTATTCCAATGAAAGACACAGCCAATTCACTGTTCAGGTAATTAAAAACCAAACCAAACCAAAACACGTCACTGCCATGGAGTCAACCCCCGGTTGGGTTTCGGTGACTGTAACTGTTTACAGGAATAGAAAGCTTAGTCTTTCTCCCACGGAGCTGCTGGTGGTTTCAAACTGCCGACCATGAAGATTGCTTGCCCAACACATGACCACTACACCACCAGAGCTCCTTATGCCCAGATAATGAAGACTCCAGTTACCTTTCATTGAGTGAACCATTTCTAAAGCAGAATGTAATATTAACTTTATGAGAAGGGGCAGGGATTCTAGTGTTCAATTATTTCGTTTCTCCAGTAAGAAAGTTCTATAGTGAAATATTTTGTAGTTAATGTGTTAAATTTGTCATTCAAAAAGACTTTGTTCTTGAAATTTTGAAAAACGCATACAAAGGAAATTGCTAAGTATAGAAAAATATGCAGAGATGATGGGCTCTAGTGAATATTCTTGAATTATGTCAAACAGTATGGTAACTAGATTTATGGCTTATTTTTTATCTGGTAGATGGTTTTCTTAATAATTAGCAATTTGACTGACTCACACTGCAGATCATGTAGCATTTATAACTTAAAAATTCAGAAACCTACTTATAAAGCCCACAGTCCACCTATACCGCTTTATTGCCCATAAATAACTTACTCCACTTCAAATCACCAGGTAACACATACCACATTTTACCAAATAACATTGCAGTGTGTGTTTTTGCAAACCTCCCACCATCTCAAGCATTCATTTCCAATGAGTGTTGTGTGCCACATGTGCACGCACATGTTCTGTACTTGGGATTTTTTCAGGCATGATGTGAGTCTTTTATGTGACAAGATCTGAATAGCTGATCATAAATTAAGAAAAGAAGTAACATGAAAGGAACCTGGCACTCAGGTCTTCTGCACGTGGCGTTTGGGTGTAAATTAGAAGGACCCGAAGTAGTGGTCATGTCCTCGAGGAGTGCTTTCTTCCAGCTTCCTTTTCCTCTGGCCTCTGAGCTTTAAAACACACGAATACATTTCTAAAGAGGAGAAAACTGTTGATGTCTCTTTGAAGGTTGGAAATGGTATGTGCAATAACAAGAAAAAAGAACAGACAGAAACATGTTTTCATCAGATAGTTACTGATTTCTCACTAAACCCCTCTCGCTGTGTAAGAGCTAAACCCTCGTCTTTATTTAGTTCTTTAATAAAAATCTTTTTTAAAATTTTGTGTTTACATTTTAGTTGTATTAACCTTTCTTGCGCAATATTTGGTAGAGAAGTTAAGGTGTTATATAGCATTGATTTTTAAAGAGATTTTGAAATCTTGCCAGCCTATAGAGAGGTGTGAGAGTACATAATGTTGCATAGCTTGCCTTTTTCAAACCTTCATTGCTTTTTTGCAGGTTGTGATATTTGATTTATATATTGACACTTCTCGCCCTTATGTAGTTTAAAAACTTAAATGCTGAATTTTTGCTTTTCAAGGGATAAGTTAGTACTGCCCAGTATTTAGGTTGTCAAAAGCCATCTTTCAAAAATCAAAACAGATCAAAGATTAAGTACGGGTAAATTAATTAAGGGAATATGGGTAAATACATTCATAATCCTAGGGAAGGCATTTTTAATAGGCATGTGAAATCCATAAGCTATATGGAGAAGACATAAATTTGAGTATATAAAATTTTAATAATTACCTTTTATAAAACAAAAACTTCCTATCATAAGTAAAATCAATCAATAATAGTCTTGGAAAAATACTTTTGACGATTTTAGTAGACATAGTTCTAATTTTAAGATTTCCTAGAAGCCGCAAGTAAAACTTCTAGTATTTCATTGGCAGAATTTAGTCACTTGGCCTATAAGGCAAGAGGGGCTGGGAAATGGTTATTGTTGTGTGTGTGTGTGTTTTAATTTAATTTGGGCAACTAAGAGTCAAATGATTTCTGTTACTAAAAGAGAGGAGACAGATAAAAACAGTGGTATCTGCCACACACAGCAAACCCCACAACCATGGGAAACAAATGCAGCATTACAAAAGGCCTGTGCTGTGACAAGATGAAACAGTAATTGGTGACTATAGTAAATAGAGCCGCAGGGGAAGTCTCCTCTCAGGAAGTGTTATGTAAGCAGAGACTTGAATGAAAGGGAGGTAATAGCTATATGAAGGTTTGGCGGATGGTATATTATAACAGTCCTGAAGCAAGTACAGCAAGAAGGTCATTGTGATGAAAGGAAGGGAGAAGGATAGATGGGGTTGGAGAAGTAAACAAGAACCAAGCCTGATGGGAACTTACTGGAGGGTTTTGAACTTTAAATAGGCTTGGAGATTATTAAAGAGGGCTAGGTGAGAGCGAGAGCGGGGGATGGGGGTGGGGTGGGGCGTGGTGGTGGTGGTGGTGGTGGTGGTGGTGGTGGTGTGGGCCAGGATAATATTAGTAGAAGTGTAGAGAAGAAGTAGTAAAAATTGGGATATTATTTTATTTTGTGCACAAGATCAGTGAGGCCAAGATTGCTAGATTTTAGAACTTTAATCAACTAAGTGGGTGTTACTTATTTTGAAACAAAGAACCAGGCTTATGGGAAGGTAGGTGAGTTAGTTTATTGTGCCAACCTGGCCAATAGACATGTAGGGTTAATTGAAGGGCGGTGGGATAAATGGCTCAGTGAGCCTCGCCTTTCTAGTTCTCGGGTCTCTTGCTTTCTGATGGTCGGAGCAGGGTGAAGCTGCCTTAGAAGTTCCCTGCTTCAGCTTGCAAGGCTGACTTTGTTCCTGCAATACATCCCCAAGGAGAAGCCACATGGACCTACCCCAATGCAGCCCTGTGTGTTGGAGCACCCATGTGGAGACCCCTGCCAGCGCTGAGATGCTTACACATTCACTGACTCAGCTTTCCCCCTGCAGTTGGCATTATTGGTCTGTTTTGTGAGATGATGGAGGACTTTCTGGATTGGTGTTGGACATATGGGTTAATGGGTTAATGTTGGATTTGTGGGCTTGGGCAGCACTGGGTTGGGATGTTTTCTTCATGTGCACTTACCCTTTATATAAAACTCTCTCTTATGCATGAGTTTCTGTGGATTTGTTTCTCTAAAGTACCCAGACTAACAGTAGGGGATGAAGAATTTTCTTTTGGTTAAGTTGAATTTGAGATACCTATTAGGTGTGACTTTGAGTGTAACTAAACCCTTAACCAAATCCACTGCCATTGAGTTTGATTGTGACTCATAGGAGGGATCTCTTATAGGGATTCTGAGACCATACATCTTGGAGCAGGCAGTGTCGTCTCAACAGAGTGGCTATGAGTTCGAACTATCTGTGGGTTTAAACCACTGGTACTGTGGCTAGCAGCCCAATGCTTAACCAACAGCGATACCAGGACTCCTTATCCTGAGGATATCCCTCCTGAATTTTGAGACCATCCAAAGAATCGATTTGACGCATTGAGCACTAAGGACTGAAGGCCTAGTAATTTATGGGCTAATGGCAAGACTACTATACATGAAGAAAGCAAAAGGTCATTAAAAAGATAGGAAAAAAAGAAAAGAAAAATGGATATCAGAAGAGACTCTTGACATTTGTTCTTGAATGCTGAGAATAGCTAAAGCAAATGGAATGATGAAGTGAAAGAGCTGATTTCAAAGGGTCGCTGAAGACAAAGCAGAATAGTATAATGAAATGTGCACAGATCTGGAGTTAGAAAACCAAAAGAGAAGAAAGAACATGCTCAGCAGTTCTCAAGCTGAACTGAAGACAAACCCGCAGCCCCGTGTTGCCATATTTAAGGATTCTTTGGGCAAAATATTGAGTGACAAAGGAAGCATCAAAATAAGGTGCATTGTTATTGCACCCAAAAGAAGTGGTTGCCATTCAACTATTTCATGCATTAGCATATGATTGAGAATGGATGATATTTACAGAAGAAGTCCAATCTATACCAAAGGCATGGGCAAAACATGGCTCCTAGAATTGGTGGAATACCAATTAAAATGCTTGAACAAACAAACAGATGCAAAGCTGGATGCCTTCATTCATCTATGCCGAGCACTTTGGTAGACAACTCCCTGGCCAACCAACTGGAAATCTGTGTGTGCCATTCCAACGAACTGTGATCAACAGACTATGGGAATTACTGAACAATACCAAGAATTATCATCCGGAAACTCCACCTCACTGTCAGCAAGGCAGTTCTGACTCGTAGTGGCCTGGTGTCATACACAAGTAAAATGTTGCTGAAGTTAATTTAAAACCTGTTGCAGCAGGTCAGTATGGAATTGTCAGATATTCAAGCCAGTTTGAGAAGAGGATGTAAGGGAATATCCCCGTTGACACTCCCTGGACCTTGACTGAAAGCAAAGAACACCAGAAAGATGCTATGAGTGGGAGCTGACTTGGGGGCACAACACAAATGACAACAGATCGCCTAGTGGAATTGTCTAGTAGACGGTCTGGTGTGTCCTTATGAAGTCACAAACCCGGAGTCATCCGTGCAGAGCTGGTATATAAATTTAAAACTATGGGGCTGGATGGGATCAATTAGGGCCATGGTTCTCAGCCATAAATGGTATAGAATCATGTGGGGAACTAAAAAAAAATACTGCTGCTTGGACCTTTCTGAGGCCAATGAAATCAGGATCGCTAGAGCATTAACATGTTTAAAAGGTCTCCCCCCGCATCCCCCCCAATTATTCTTATCAGTCAACCATGGTTGACAACAAAAGGCCTAGGGAGAAAGTCCAGCGCTGTCCATCATCTGTTGGGTATGGCAACAGAGAGGACCTTGGCAAATGGTTTTAGCCTAGTGGTGGGTAAGAACATGTGACTGGAGGGAGTTTTAGTTATGGGAGGAGAAGTGGAAAGAGTGATTGTGTGCAACACTTTCCAGAAATTTTGCAGAAAAGTGGACCTGAAAAATGGCTGGCTGGATGGAGGACCATCTCTTTTAAGAGCAGGACATCAAATATGTGCATCCCCAGATGTGGGTGTTAGAAATAGTGTAAGTGAAAGGAGATTACTAGTCTAAGACTTTTTAACAAGAACACAAAAATTCCTGTTACACCTTTCAAAGATGTTTTACATAATAATAGTTATAGAACTTGGGATCAAGTCATTGTTTGTGGTTGTTAATGTAGGATTCTATATTGTCTGATGAAATGACACAGCGATGTATTTATAATATCTTCTGTTCCTTTAAGGCTGATAAAGAATTTGTTTGGTCTTTGTGGAAACGCCTCCAGATGACCAACCCAGATCTCACACAAGCATTCAGTTTGGTTGTGGAAAGGTGAGCTCACAAGTTATTCACAAATAATTAATTTTTGTTGCACTTCAGTATGTAACACTCTGTATTAATACCTTAGATTGATTTGATTTCCAAGTAAGAACTTTTTGTGGCATGTAATAGAGATATTTATACCAAGAGGCGATAGTTTACTAAGTTAGTACTGGTAAACTATGTCCTGTATGCATAATCTGGACAATTATGACTTCTTTGGTGTGTGTGTGTGTGTGTGATGCACTTGTGCATGCAATTGCTTTTCTTAAGCAGTTTCAGCTCAGCTTTAAAAAATGGTGAAGTCCCAATTGTTTGGCTTCTTCAATCAATAGACTGCCCCTGTAGGGACCGTAACTTCATAGACGTGATATGCTGTTTTGTCCTAAGATAATTGCAGTGTGTACTTGAAAGTCTGGGATGACCTTGCCAAAGTGGAGAAAGTGTCCCGGAATAGGTTGAGCGATGTCTCTTAGCACTCCATATTAGTCTGTCGGGGATGCCCAGTCATTTACTGTAGATTATTGGGCCTCCCCTTGGTCATTAGAAACAGCGGAGTGATGCCGAGTACTCCTTATCAAACATTCAATATCTGGCAGTCCCCTGACACTTAGCATAGCCATTAAAACACTTGCTTTCCTATTAAAGGGATTTCATTACATTTCCTAAATGAGAAGCTAAGCATATGGATACTTTTATTTCTTTATTGGAATCATGATTATATAATCTGAATATTATTTTTGAGAATTTGAGCTACAGTCCTTTTTGAAATCTCTAGCCCTGGAATCATTCAATACTGTCTGGAATTTGACTTTTAAAAATCTATACTAAATTCCTGACTTTTGACTAGTTTTATCTTTCTTTATAGTGAACGCTTAATATAATGCATTTCTCCTCAGACTGTTGGTATGTCTAATTCTTCAATCAGACTTTTCCTTTTGGTGGCAGAAATGGAGTCTTGGAGAAGTACTCTCTAATGCCTCAGTAATTCTGAACATGCCATGTGGTCACACTCAGGTTCTTGCTGTTCTGTTTTTAGAAGCCTTGTAGAAGTCATGTTCTTGGGTCTTCAGTAGCTATTTCTGTGATTCTTTATCCATCTCTCATTTTATTTGTTAACTTTCTAAAGTTACCCTCAATTTTTCTCTTATCTTGGTTGAGATAGAAGCATATAATGTGATCATTTTTTCCTCATCTGTTTCCTATTTTTCCTATTTTATAATTTATGGATGAGCAGTATAAAAGTGGTTGGGTACCCTTGGACTGGATACAATTCAAAGTGACTCTAAGCACAGTGGAGTGAAATGCTACCCTGTTTGTTCGATGCTCACAATTATCGCTATGTTTAGGTACTTTGCTGCAGCCACTGTGTCAATCCATCTCCTTGATGGTCTTGCTTTTTTTGGCTGTCCTTCTGCCTTACCAAATATGATGTCCTTCTCTAGTAACAGGTTTCTCATGATAACATAGCCAGTATATGTAAGACAGAGTCACACCAGCCTTCCCTTTAAGGAACATTCTGACTACGCTGTAACATGCTAAAGAGAAAAGATTGACGTTGCCAAGGATTTCTTCTTGCTTAGATCCCCAATCAGTGCTCATGGAAGCAGCGGTCAAGAGATGAAACAACACATTGCAGTAGGCCAGTCTGCTGCACAAGACCTCTTTAAAGTCTTGGGAACCAAGGAGATTGCTTTGAGGACTAAGGTATGGCTGACCCAAGCCCTGGCATTTCCATTTGTCTCCTATGCATGTGAAAATTCTGCATTGAATAAAGAAGACCAAAGAAAAATGGACGCATTAGAACTGTGGGGTTGGCAAAGAATATGGAAAGGACTCCAAAAACAAAACAGAACAAAAACGTACTGCCTTTGAGTCAACCCTGACTCACAGCAATCCCCAGTGGGTTTCCGGGACTGTAACTGTTGTGGGCGTTTCTCCCCCAGAGCTGCTGGTGGCCTCCAACTGCTGACCATGTGAATTGCAGCCCAACACATTACCACTACCACCAGGGCTTCCCTGAAAGTACTGTAGCATCCCCAAAGAACAAACAGATCTGCCTCGGAAGAAGTACAGCCAGAATGCTCCATAGAGGAAGATGGTGAGGCGTTCTTGCAGTACCTGAGGCATGTTGTAAGGAGAGATCCTTCCCCGGAGAAGGACATCATGTTTGGTAAAAGAGAGGGGCTGCAAAAGAGAGGAAGGCCCACCAAGAGATGGATTAACACGGAGGCTACAACGATGGGCTCAAACATAAGAACAATTGTGAGGATGTTGCAGGACCGGGCATTGTTGTGTTGTGCTGGAATAGGGTCGCTCAGAGCCACAACCAGCTCTATGGCCCTTAACAACAGCGACATGCATAATGCAGTAATAGTAATAGATACATCGACAAGCATATGGAGGTGGGAAGGAGAATAGGACTGTACCCAAGGTCTATGTACAGGTTTTGCATGAACACACGTGTTCTGAAATTCCCGTTCTTCACAGTGTTCGCCATAATTAGTTGTCCACACAGTTGAATGCCTTTGTGTAGGTAGCATTTCCTGGTAGTCTCTGTTTTCCACCAAATCCATCCGTCACCATCCGTGAAACCCCCCTTCTTTTTGTCCTCTTTTGATTATGGTTTGATTTTCTGGCAGTTACTTGTTGATGTACCGCTGCAGTAGTTATTTTTAATGGTTTGTCATACATCTTGACTGAGACCTCCTACTGCCATTCAGCTAAGTCATGCCCTGATTCTTGACTGAAAGAATTTGTGTGATAATGAATGTCATTACGCTGCTCAGTTTTGGAGTCATTTATTATGCATTCGTATGGATAACGAATATGCCGGATCTAAAGATACACATCTGCAATGGCAAAGCTACTATCCAGTCACAGACTCTGGTACCAGTTTATACTTTGAGTAGCATTGTGAGGAGCTGTCTGTTCCCCCCACCTTCTGACCATCATGCTGCCTTCAACCTTCGTGTGTGAGCTTATCTCAAAGGTCAGAAAGGACATATTGAAATAGCCTCCCTTCTTTTGTCTGAGTGATGTCGAAGAGCTCGTTTATATGCTTTTTCTGTGGACCGTTTCTTCATGTACTCTGCCTGTGGCATTTCTAATTCAGGTTCTGCGGTGCCCTTCAAATTCAGTATATTATCTATAGAACTTACAGGCTGCTGCTTGTGAGGGTTTTTTTCAGACCTAACTTCCTCAACCACAGACATGTGATTTTCTGTCTTTAAATTTCACATCTTGAGGGTTAACTTTGATACTGCTTGGTCTCTTTTTGAACAGAAAATCAATTTCCAAGTTCAGTCACTTTCTCTTTTGCAGTGTCACTCAAATCCAGTAATTCCTCTGTTTCCTTAACTTCCAAATCCTCTACCTCAGCACTTAGTGTCTCAGTTCTGAACATCGTATTGATTTCTTTCCTAAACGTCAGTTCTGTTTTAGATCTTTCACATTGAGACAAAGGAAGAGATAAGACTCCAAAGAAGATAATTTGTGAAATTTAGGGAATGTATTCATTGAATATTTTAGGAACTTCTGAAAGGATATCTAGAAGAAACTTGTTACCTTCAGGCATGGAAGCCTTTTGTTCTTGTTGGGTGCCATCAAGTTCAGTCCAACAATAGCACTCCCTAGTGACAGAGTAGAACTACTCCATAGCGTTTTCCTGGTTTTAACTGTTAAGTGGCAGTGGATCACCAGCTCTTTCTCCCAGAGAGTGACTGGTGGAATTGAACCATTTTACCTTTCAATTGACAACCAAGGCATCTCTACGATGGAGACCAAATGGTGTGTGGAAACCAGATTGTGGGACTGATAGGTGTGGCCATCATTAAAACAGATACCTCTGCTGCCTGTACTTATTCAGCAAACACTGAGTGCTGAGTGTCTGGCCGTGGGCGGAGAGAAAAAGAGCGTTCTGTGCAGACCTATGAAGAAGTCCTGTCTGGTGGGAAAGACGTTTGAAGCAAAGGAGAGTATGAGATGGAGTTTGCTAAATGCGATGTTAAGGATAAAGGGTGATATATTAAAAAGCATTTGCATATTGATGTAATTATCTTTCTTTGACTTCTGGGGAATGTTGCGAAAAAGACGTTGTTACTAATTCCATTTTAAATAATTAGTTGATGTTGTTGAAAACATCCTTATTTTCTCTTGGTTAAGCAATATCACGTAAATGAAAAGCATTTTTGTAAATACTACATTTTTGTTCTGAACTTCTTGGTAGGAAGTACTATTTTCTGTTATTTAAAGATATTACACTACCTGCCCTTTTATGAGTTCATTATGAATTGCTGCTGTCAGAAGCTCATTTTAGGTATATTGCTTGTTTATTAGCCCTACAAATCCCATTTCCCTGCTGTTATGTATAAGCTCTGATTTCAGTACATGTGTAGTGTCATAAGAGTATAACCACTGTATTTTATCCTTGAGTTGCGGAAGGCAACATTACAACTTCACTACGCCAAGAGTGATAAACATCGAAGAAACAGTAACGTGGAGTTTCATGGACTCTCCATATATTAGGAATCATAGGAGCTTGAATTGTTCATCTTTCATCTGGATATCTTAAAATGTGTGTTAGCCAGAGTCCAGTCTCTTTGTTTTAGATGAAAACTTCACCTTTTAAGATTGAGTAACACGTTGTTTGGCCTGTGCTGCTGTTGTGGGGTGCTGTAGAAGCCACTTTTGACTCATAGCCACCTGTGTACGAGAGCGTGAAACACTGCCCGGTCCTGCGACATCCTCCCCGCTGTTCTCATTGTTTGGATTCAGGGCGAAGCCGCCGTATCAGTCCATCTTTTCTAAACATGATGTCCCTCTCCAGGGACTGGTCTTTCTTGATAACATGTCTTAAGTGCATGAGACATGAAATGAAGTCTCACACATCCTTGCCCCTGAGGAGCATTCTGGTTGTACTTCTTCCAAGACTGATCTGTTTGTTCCTTTGGCAGTCCACGATTCTTTAAATATTCTTCACTAACACCATAGTTCAAGTGCACTGCTTTAAT